GTGTAAAACAATTCTTTTTCGTTTTTAAGTTTGTGATATTCTAAAATTCAATGTCGGTTTAGAATCATCCAATATTATCGACGAATGGAGTGAAAACCAAATCGTTAAAACCACTTTAATTCAAAGTGGTTTATTATAATTTTTGTATTGATTTATTATATTTTTTTTTTTATGATGAATTATATTGAAACGTCTCGTACCTCCAAGATTTCACTTGTTTATTTTGTCATTTTGTATCAATGTAAATGCAGCAGATAGAGAGAAAAAAAGAGATGGGCCTATAACTTTTCCTTTAAGCCCAATAAGCTTCATTTTTTTTTTATTAAGCACGGCCCAAACATTTTCAAATTTCAAATTCTTTAAAATATTAAAAAAATACCCCCAAATATTTCGCAAAATCAAAGATTTGGCGCTTGAGTGACGCGCTTCTTTCCTAAATTCCCCCCCCGTTCGTCTTCTCTCTAATATAGCCGCCACTTTAGGTTTTCGGATTCTCTCATTTCGATTTCACTTCGTCTTCTCCGATTAAACATGGCGCCTAAACGTAAGACTCGTTCTACTAAAGGCGAGAGTTCCGGTTCAGTTCCTAAGGCGAAGAAATCGGCCGTTGCGTCGGTGGTGGAAAATGAGCCGATACAGGTTGCGGATTCTGAAATTGACTCGACGGTGAGGTTCTTAGACGAGCCGGTAGCTGATGCGGAGGCGAGGAGGACTTGGCCTGAGAGATACCAAGAGATCGACGTCGAGGTATCTCAGATCTGGATACTTTTTCTTCTTTTCTAGATTTTGTTTCTGTTTTGGGGATTTTTCAATTGAAATCTAACTTGGATTGCTATGTTTTTATAAGAACTTTGTTGCATATCTGTTGATTTCTGAAAAATGTCGCGCTTTGTTTTTGTTTCCAGAGAAAGGAAGTTGAAGCTGTATCAAAGAAAAACAAGAAGTAAATTCTTCAATCCTTTGCTTCTATTGTGTAGCTTGATAGAGATTCTATGTCTAGAGATGTGTAAACAGTTTTTACTTCGGCTTGATTAGAATTTTCATTTTCCAGGGATGATGATGATGAAGAGAAAATCATTCGAGCGATACGCCATTTCCGACGTGCAATTGTTGATGAGTGCCATATATATGAACTTAATGATGATGCTCATGTGCAGGTGACTTATTACATCTCTCTTGTAATTGATACTTGAATGGGAAAAACTGGCTTTTAAAAGTTAATCGATTTCTTTTGTTAGTGTGATAATCTTGCATTATTTCGGTGTGTTACCATTTGAGGCTAACTGATTGTTATGTAGGTTGACATGGGCATTATAAATTAGCTTATGCTTTTTACATTACAGAAGTAGATACTTTACTATAAATAACTTCAGTCTTAACTTCATTGTTATATATTTTATTCAGGCTGGTGAAGGAGTTGATCCCTTTATTTGCAAAATTGTTGAAATGTTTGAAGGAGATGATGGGAATTTACATTTCACAGCTCAGTGGTTTTACAGAGCGCGTGATACCGTAAGAATCAGAATTTATTCTTCTGGACCTATTTTGTTTTCTATGTTGTATTGTCTGATGTTTTGACCATTTCTTTACTTTCAGGTAATTGACCAGCACAAGGATCTGATCAATGACAAACGTGTGTTTTTCTCTGAGGTTCGAGATACAAATCCATTGAACACTCTTGTGAAGAAACTGAAAATTTCAATGATTCCCTTAACGGTACATTCTTCTTATTTCATGTTTAGCTTGTTACTTGTAGTGTCTGTTTTTGGTAACCCAGTAACATTACTTTCTTTTTTGATGGCAGGAAAATACTGAGGAGATTTTTGATGCAACGAAAAACTGTGATTATTACTGTGACATGAAGTATCTTTTGCCTTACTCCACTTTTGAAGCTTTACAACCAAGTCAGTGTTTCTATCCATTGATCTTCAAGTTATAGCATTACTTTTTTTCACTGCCAATTGGGTTTTAGATAATCTGTTTCACTTTTTGAAGATAACTGAGCATGTCTAGATCCTTCGATTTTGCAGATGCCAAGATGTCTTCCAGTGAAAGTTCCACAATATCCAACGATATTGATGTGAACAGAGGAGCTGCTACTACATCAGATCATGAGGAAGGTTCACATTCTCAAAGAACGGATGCAACGTTGCTAGACTTGTATTGTGGTTGTGGTGCCATGTCTACTGGTTTGTGCATGGGGGCCCAACTAGCTGGTCTCAATCTTGTCACTGTAAGACATTTTTTTTATCCTAATTTCTCTAATTATAGTAAAGTTGTTTTCATTTTCGTGTTTAATCTTTTGTTTTAAATGATTTTTTTTTCAAGAAATGGGCTGTCGACCTCAATGAGTATGCTTGCCAAACTCTAAAGTACAATCATCCAGAAACACAAGTATGGTTTCAAAGTCTTTTCCAATTCTCTTTCATTTCCTGTCAACTACATATATTCTAAACGGCAAATGTCACTTCATATTAGGTAAGAAACGAGTCCATGGATGATTTTCTGATGTTGCTTAAGGAATGGGAGAAGTTTTGCTGTCATTTCTGTTTGAGAAAATGTCCGAATTCAGAAAAATATGACACCCTTTACGGGATGACTAGCGTTGAGGATGATGAAGATGGCAGTGAGGACACTGATGACGAAGACGGTGAAGAGGTTTTTGTGGTGGAAAAGATCCTAGATATTATGTTTGGAGATCCTAACAAGTTAAAGAAACGAGGACTTTATTTGAAGGTATTGTTGCTCTGTTTCTACAAATTTCACAATCTAACTTATGGGTTTCCCTCGTTATAGTCACAATCTTCTCTGCTGTTTTGATATAAAAGGTACGATGGATGAATTACGGGCCTGCACATGATACTTGGGAACCTATTCAAGGACTAAGGTGAGTATAAGAGAACAAGTGCTAAAAAATGCTTGCATTAAATTAGGCATGTCAATGGGTTATTAATGTCACTAAATGTATCTGTGAACAGCAATTGCCGAGAAAAGATCAAGGAGTTTGTTGTACATGGATTTGAATCAAGCATCCTTCCGTTACCAGTATGTATCTTTATCCATGATTCTTTTGCTGTTTTAAATTTGTGAATCTGCTGCTAATTTAAGGGGGTCAGTATAAAGTATAAACCAGAAATGCAATGTTCTATGAGTCGTATGTCTATATAAGGTACTTAGATTGTTTAAGATTTGTCTTTGTCAGCTCAGTTGCAATGTTCTGTTTGGGTCAGTTAGTCGTGGAAGGGTTTAAATAGAATTTGTAACAAAACAGTTGAGGAGTAGGGCATTATCTTGGACTCGGTTCTAAGGTTAGCTTGGTCATAGAAGTCTTCACTTTATCAGTGAAATGCAAGAGTTTCTACTTGTTGAATTTTAATAGTATGTTTCTGCTATAATGATGATTTCATTGACCCCTATACTTAATTGATTTAGGGATTTGTTGATGTTCTTTGCGGAGGGCCTCCGTGCCAAGGAATGAGCGGCTTCAACAGGTTTAGGAATGAGAAAGAGCCGCTAGCAGATGAGAAAAACAGGCAACTCATTGTGTACATGGACATTGTGGAATTCCTTAACCCGAAGTTTGTTTTGATGGAGAACGTTGTCGATATGCTCAAGTTCGCCGGTGGCTACCTTGCTCGTTATGCCGTCGGAAGACTAGTCCAGATCAACTATCAAACCCGGATGGGTATGATGGCAGCAGGTGCGTATGGTCTTGCACAGTTCCGAATGCGCTTCTTCTTATGGGGTGTGCAGTGTAGCGAGGTAAGGTTTCTTTGTGCATCTTCTTTGTTCGTGATTAATCATTACTGAATATAGTTTTTCTTAATTTGTACAATTTATTTTTATTTATATTCTTGCTCCAGAGGCTTCCTCAGTTTCCACTTCCTACACATGATGTTGAGGTGAGAGGAGTCATTCCTCTAGAGTTTGAGGTAAGATATGTATTAGTACTGTTCAATATGTCTAGCGAATTCTTATATTTTCGTTGATTCAGTGAGTTCTGTTTATAATTGATACAGAGAAACACAGTGGCTTACGATGAAGGCCATTCTGTGAAGTTGGAAAAAAAGCTCTTTCTTGAAGATGTGATTGACGACCTTCCTGCTGTAAGTCTTGCTGTGTTGCTTATCTTGACTAAATAGTTGCCAAGCTCGTCTTTCATATGCATGCTTTTATCAAGAATTAAGTTTCTCTATAAATTTAGGTTGCAAACGATGAGAAGAGGGATGCGATACCATATGACAAAGTTCCCAGAACAGCATTTCAACAATATATCAGATTAAGTAAAGAAGGTAAGATTTCTATAATTCTTGTGGCAACAGTGAATATCATAGATTGTAAGACGATTATGGCAACCTTTAAACTGTTAATGAACTCTTTTCAACAGAAATGGTTGGTTCATCGACAAAGTCCAAGTCCAAGTCCAAAAAGGATGGTTTATATGATCACCATCCTTTAAATCTGAACAAAGATGACTATCAACGTGTCTGTAGGGTCCCCAAAAAGAAGGTACAACCTTCTCACATTCATTATTCACATTTCTTTTATGTCCTTTGTTTTAGTTTCTAGGGTTATATTGATTTTGTGTTCATGACTATTCGTATTAGGGAGCGAATTTCAGAGACTTTCCTGGTGTTGTTGTTGGACCCAATAATGTAGTTGAATTTGATCCTAAAATCCCCAGGGTCTTGCTTGAATCCGGAAACCCGTTGGTAATGATGATCATTCTCTTTTTTTTTTTTTTGTTTCTGTGTCTTCATATCAATCTTGCTTTTCTCTTCAGTGGTTATTCCTTAAATTTAAGAGTCCTTGTCTTGTGCTATTCAAACAGGTTCCAAACTATGCGATGACGTATGTCGATGGCACATCATCCAAGTAAGCCCTTCATTGCCCCCCTTAACTTTCTTATTCTCTTTATTTCTGAATTTGGCAAATGTTTTCCATATCTAAAATCACCTGAACCATTTGCTTTGTAGACCTTTTGGAAGACTCTGGTGGGATGAAACAGTCCCAACTGTTGTTACCCGAGCAGAGCCTCATAATCAGGTTAGGCTTTTGGTTCATCTTTAGACTCTTTCGTACATCTGAAAGTTCTGATTTTGCTACTTGTATAAATGCTTTTGGACGTTTTTAGACTCCTTCATACAATATAAAGAGTATTTATTCCCTGGTAATGCTACTGGTTATTACAGGTGATTATTCACCCGATTCAAGACCGTGTCTTAACAGTCCGTGAAAATGCTAGACTTCAAGGGTTCCCGGATTACTATAAACTCTTTGGCCCTACTAAGAAAAAGTAAGTAACTACCCTTACCACTCTCTATCCATTTTGTAAATCAGTGATTTTAATTCTTTCAATCCTGATGTTTATATAGCCTTTTGTTTCTGTCACGTTGCTCTTGACCGGTTTTTGATAGAATTCTCCGATAGATTGAAATTCAGACTAATGGTTTACATATACATTGTTTTCAGATATACTCAGGTGGGGAATGCAGTTGCAGTCCCAGTTGCTAGGGCTCTTGGATATTCTCTAGGACAAGCTTTCCAAGGTCTTGCAGTTGGTAATGATCCACTTCTTACTCTGCCTAAGGGGTTTCCAAACATAAAGGGAAATCTTACTTCTGAATCAGTGGAACATTCTCTCGCGGCAATAAGAGATTCCACTTGTGCTTCCGAGTGAGCATGAAACCTATCCCATTGATTCATTGTCCATCTTCAATTTATCTCGGTTATATTTTGATCCATCCCTAATCATTTGGAGGAGGAATTCTTGTTGCTTATTTGGAACAATCATTTTTAGTTTTGATTCTACTGTCTATTACCTTGATTAACAGTTCTGTGAAGGATCTTTGAATGCTTTTAGCTTTCTTTTGATTTGATCATTTGATTTTGTAGTGTTGACTTCGAAATTACCTTTCTTTAGCCTGTAGTTGCAACAATTCAAAACTTTCTCCGAAACTCTCTTCAAATTGTGGTATTAGGTGAATGCATAAAGTATTTTCGACCATTTCTGAATTTTGTGCACCAAAAGAATCACTAGTTTGAGCCGTATTTTGTCATCACTTTAGAAGAAAATTAGTTCTCATTTAAGACAGGATTGATATAAAATTTGGGGTATATTTCTTTTTGGGGTCAACACTCTGATAAACCTGTTAGAATAAAATGGTCAACACAGTTCTTTAATCAGTTTATTGCGATAATTTGTAGGCACGTCATTGGGAAAGTGAGTAGTGGCGAACCTTAATCCAAAAAAGTTATTGTAGTATTTTCGATTAAAACCATTAAGTAATTCAATAAAAAAGATCAGGGGTGGATTTAGTATTGAATCCTACTATTCGGGTTTTTTTTTTTGCGAGACTAAAAAGCCATATGGGCAATCTCTGCAAAATCAACGAAAACTTTTCCAAATTTCAAAAATA